TCACACAGTGTTATGTCAATGTTAGTTATTATGTACTAGAGGGCTGGTGCATGAAATTCGTTCACGGGTAGGGTCCCTAGTCCTGGCCAGTGATCAGGGCTGATTGGGGCCTTCCTTCCCCAGCTGCTGGCTGCTGGCCAGGGCCTTCCTTTGGTCTGCGCCACCCCCTGGTGGTCAGCGCATGTCATAGCCAGTGGTCGAACACCTGGTAGGTGGAACCTCTGAGGGGACAATTTGCATATTAGCCTTTTATTATATAGGATACTTAAATATCTTTAGAAGGGTGTGTTTTTTAAAAAATATGTTTTTATTGATTTTAGAGAGAGGAAGGGAGAGGAAGAAAGAGAGAGAAACATCATTGATGAGAGTGAATTATTGATCGGCTCCCCTCCTGCACACCCCACACTGGGGATCAAGCCCGCAACCCGGGCATGTACCCTCACCGGTTATTGAACCGTGACCTCCTTGTTCAGAGGTTGACACTCAATCATTGAGTCATATGGGCCGGGCAAGGGTGTGTCATTTTTAAAGAATGGAGAGTGTTAACCTAAAAATAAAAGGCCTTGTAAAATGAGAGGCAACATGCATTTATTGAGATAAAAAAGGATAACTATTTGGGAAACATTAATTCAATCAGAAGCTAAAATAATACTCCAATTAGGAGACAAAGGCATTTGTGAGAATGGGAAGGGGAACAATTATATCAACAGAAGCAAGACATTTTCATTGGTGCAGGTAACATAGTGATATTAATTCTAAACAATGTTTTAATTTTTTTGTCCAGTAGTCATAATAACTGCTTTCTTATTATCTTTGCAAACAGTGTTTTGGGAAGCAATGTTGCTTTAGGCTCAATCCAAAGGTTATTTTGCCCTGTTTTGAACATTCCAAGGTTTGAGCATAAGACATGCAAAGCAGTTCAGCTGGTATGGCAGCTCCAGCTCCGTTTTATTTATTTTTAGTTATTTAAAAAAATTTTTGTTAATCCTCACCAAAGGATATTTTTCCATTGATTTTTAGGGAGAGTAGAAGAGAGAAAGACAGAGAGAAACATCCATGTGAGAGAAACACATCGATTGATTACCTTCTGCATGAGCCCTGGCCAGGGCCTGGGCAGGGAGAAGCTTGCAACCAAGGTTTGTGCCCTTGACCGGAATCGACCTGGGACCCTTTGGTCCACAGGCCGACGCTCTATCCACTGAGCCAAACTGGTTAGGGCGCCAGCTCCATTTTAAAGTGGTTCCATTTATATTATTACTGTTAAAGAGGAAGGAAAACATTATGAAATTTGCATTCACTGTTAGGCAGGCAGCCTGATGACGCTGGCCAGAGTTGCCTTTGGGGAGAGTTCTTGGCCATGCTCGGCAGCTGCCCTCGAGCTACCTTTTGTGGGGGAAGTTCTGTGATTCCCCCCATAATAAATTCACCTTTAGAGAAGGCATTTACAGGAGTCATTCTAAATAAATTGTTAAGGTGTTGATGGCACTTGATCTACCTAATTTCATTGTGGTTGACCTTGTGGCCACCCTGTTAGCTCTTAATTATTCTGTAATCTGTATCTTAGTGACTAGACAGTAAACTTGGTTGAGTCATACTATTCAATCCTGACTAGAAAAGAGTTTTGAAATGAAAGCATTGGATTGCTATCCTTCTCCCTTACTCATTTGCCCCCAAGAAACAGAGGGTAGCTCTGGGTCACCTGGAAAAGGTCACACTTTCTATTCTCAGCATTCATTGGGTATTAGAAAATGTTAAACAGGTAAGATTGAGATAGCTGTAGAGTTTTCCAGGTCTTCCATGGATTGGATCATGACGCTTCTTCATTTTATGTGAGGTGAAATTCCCAGAACATTAGGCCCATCTAGGCTCAGATAGAAGTATGAAATACTCCTAAAACATCACTGCATTGTTTGGGATTATTTAGTCTCTTGTCGGTGCTACTGCAGTTTCCTCCATAACTGGGCTTCCCTGATTCCACTGATGCTAATCCATTTTCCACAAAGTGATCTTTAACTGTAATCAAATAATTTCTGTCATTCCCTTCCTTCACCGTATAATGGCTTCCCATCACTGATAACTTTTAAAATAAAACCCAAATGCCTTACCTTGGCACCCACAGGCTATGAAAGAGTTTGAGGTTTTAGAAACCTGTATTAAATTCTCACTTCTTCATCTGCCAGTTGGATTATGACTCCATGGGACATAACCTCTATGAACTTTGTAACCTTTATTAGTAAAGGGGAGATTCAAATACTCTATAGGGCATAAAAAAATGAGACACTGTATGTAAAGTACTCTCTCCCTCCTCTCCTTACCTGTCCCACTTCTGCCCATTCTTCAAGGTCCATTTAAAGTCAAAAGAATCAATATCAGAACCCCATCTTCTCTGTGAGGCCTTTCTGAATGACCACAGTCCTGGCCTACACCATTCTTCCAAATTCTCATCATACTTATCTCTGTGCCACCTCCTGCATCCATTATGTGACCAAATACAATTCAAGAGACACAGGAAGCACTAAAATAACACATAATCTTACCTAATAATAGACAAACATGCAAATTGACTGTACCTTTGCTACGCCCACCAGCCAATTGGATGAGTATGCAAATTAACCAAACAAAGATGGCAGTTAATTTGCATACATAGGCGCCCAGCGGCGATCGGAGCCTGCAATCAGAGCTGAGAGGTCCCCTGCCCAGGCCTAACACCTTGAGGAGTTAGGCCTGGGCAGGGGCTGAGCGGGCGATGGCGGGGAGCAGGAGCAGAGCCTGTGATGGTGGGGAGCTAGGGGTCCCCTGCCCAGGCCTAACGCCTCGACCACAGGTGTTAGGCCTGGGCAGGGGTGGAGCTGGTGATCGCGGGGAGTTGGGTGTCTTCTGCCCAGGCCTAACGCCTTGGCCAGAGGCGTTAAGCTTGGGCAGGGGCGAAGCCAGCGATCGCGGGGAGCAGGGGCAGAGTTGGGGGTCCCCTGCCCAGGCCTAATGCCTCGGCCACATGCTTTAGGCCTGGGCAGGGGGGGAGCCAGCGATCACTGGGAGCAGGGGTGGAGCCAGCGATGGCAGGGAGCTGGGGGTCCCCTGCCCAGGCCTAATGACTTGGCCAGAGGCGTTAGGCCTGGGCAGGGGCAGAGCAGGAGATTGTGGGAGCTGGGGGTCCTCTGCCCAGGCCTAATGACTCGGCCAGAGGCGTTAGGCCTTGGCAGGGGCAAAGCGGGCGATTGGGGGGCAGGGGCGAGCAGCAATTGGTGTGAACTACAGAGGAAACACCTTTTCTGACTGCTCATTGGCTAAGCTCCCTGTATGCCACTGGTAATATTCTTAGTAACTTGGGTAATAAGAATCCAATAAGGTGATCTAGGGTTTTTTACCTCACTCCTGGAGAAAAAAAGGAAGGTCAGCTGCTGGAGGGCTAAGAAATGTCATATCCTGCCCTAGCTGGTTTTGCTCAGTGGATAATGCCTCGGCCTGCCCACCGCAGGGTCTGGGTTCAATTCTGACCTAGGTTGCAGGCTCCTCCCTGACACGGGCCCAGGTCAGGGCTGATGCAGGAGGCAACCAATCAAAGTGTTCCTCTCACTTTGATGTTTCTCTCTGTCTTTCCCTTTCTCTTCCACATTCTCTAAAAATCAATGGGAACATATCCTCAGGTGAGGATAAAGAAAGAAAGAAAGAAATGCCATATCCTATGAAAGACACATCTTGAAAATGCCTAAAGAAAGTTGTCATTTTTTCATGGTGAAGGGACTGGAGTCCGTGTTGATAAAAACACCTTGGTGGCTGCGGTGACTGGCAGTGGCTGCAGCAGCGGGGTGATGGGGCTGGTGCCTTCCCCTGATCAGCCCAGTTGCCTCCCACAAAGGGAGGCCAGACTGCAGCTTAGGCCTGTTCCCCAAGGGGAGCAGGGAGCAGGGAGTAGGACATTCCCTGAGGGCTCCCAGTATGTGATAGAGGGCAGGCTGGGCTGAGGGACCCCCCCTCCAGTGCACAAATTTTTGTGCACCGGGCCTCTAGTCCTATGTAATAAAACCCTAATATGTAAATCGACCAAATGGCAGAACCACCAGTCTCTATGATGTGCACTGACCACCAGGGGGCAGACGCTCAATGCAGGAGCTGCCCACTGGTGGTCAATGTGCTCCCACAGGGGGAGCGCTGCTCAGCCAGAAGCTGGGCTCACAGCTGGTGAGTAAAAAGGTGGTGGCAGGAGCCTCTCCCGCCTCCATGGCAGGGCTATGGACCCCTCAGGGAGCGGGCCTAACCTGGCAGTCAGACATCCCCTGAGGGGTCTTGGACTGTAAGAGGGCGCAGGCCGGGCTGAGGGACCCACCCGTGCACAAATGTTGTGCACCAGGCCTCTAGTAGATCATAAAAAATCAGATAATAGAAATGTTAAAATAAGAATGGAATTTATTAAATAAGTGCTGAAAATTCTGTATTTTTTAACTTCAGGGATTTAAAACTGCTTGGTAAAAGCTGCCTTGTAGGGCAATTCATATAGTGGGGGGAAATTAGTCTTTTCAGCTTTAAAATTGAGAGACAGAATTTCCTGACATCTCTTGAAATAACTGCGGGTATCTGGGGAGGTCGCAAAGCCTGAATTAAGAGTCTCAAGCCCAGATAAAGCATTGTACACATTTTGCTCATGGATACTTTTGTTTTACTTTTTAAAAAAACATTTTTATTAATTTCAGAGAGGAAGGGAGAGGGAGAGAGAGATAGAAACATCAATGATGAGAGGGAATCATTGATCGGCTGCCTCCTGCACACCCCCTACTGGGGATTGAGCTCACAACTCACGCATTTGCCCTTGACTAGAATCGAACCCAGGACCCTTCAGTCCACAGGCTGATGCTCTATCCACTGAGCCAAACCAGCTAGGGCTATTTTACTTTTTAAATTTTATTTTTATTTTATGGATATCTTTAGTTCTGTGTTGCATAATAAGCCATATTTCTGGGTTTATTTATATGTAACTCTGTGTTTCCTTTTTTATATTTTAGATGGAACAGATTAAAAGGGCAAATAAACTGTTTACCAATGATTGCATATTTCTGAAGAAAACTTTGAACATCCCAGTTATTTCAGAGAAGCCTTTGCTGTTTAATGGACTTAACTCAATTGATTCTCCAGAAAGTGAAACTGTCCATGGCCTTTTTTCTCACGAAGAAGGGCTGGTCGCAGTTGTGGAAGACCCATCTTCTCCCAGTCCTCTGGCATCTCCTGTTCAGCCAGTGCCGCCCGAGGAAGTGTCAGCCAGAGATTTCCTGCAGAGACTCGACTTGCAGATTAAGTTATCAACACAGGCAGCCAGGAAACTAAAAGAAGAGAGCAGGTAAAAATATGCTGGTAAAATGTCAGAGACTGAATAAATTACTCTTAAGATGTTTACACTTGGTAAATTTTTATTTTTTTGCTTTAAAAATCTATGTTTTAATTCCAGAAAGGCATTTTTAATATATGAAAGATAAACAGAGTCATTGTATTCTGTATAAGGCTTGATCTGTTGTAATGCATTGTCTCTGTGAGTTATTATAAAAACTAGAGGCCCGGTGCACGAAATTCATGCATGGGGACTGCCCTCTCGCAGTCCGGCAGGAGCCTTCGGGGGATGTCCACTTGCCGGCTTACGACCCCCCTAAGGGAGCAGGCCTAAGCCATCAGTTGGACATCCCTCTCACAGGCCAGGACTCCTCGCTCCTTACCGTCCGCCTGCTCACTGCTCTTACTGCTCAGCTCGCTGCTCCTTAGTGCTGCCGTGGAGGCAGAAGAGGCTCCCGCCACCACCGCTGCGCTCGCTAGTTGTGAGCCTGGCTTTTGGCTGAGGGGCGCTCCCCTTGTGGGAGTGCATTGACCCGCAGGGGGCAGCTCCTGCATTGAGTGTCTGCCTTCTGGTGGTCAGTGCATATCATAGCAACCGACCGGTCGTTCTGCCATAAGGGTTGCTTAGGCTTTTATTATATAGACTAGAGGCCTGGTGCACAAAAATTTGTGCACTGGAGGGGGGGGGTCCCTCAGCCCGGCCTGTGCCCTCTCGCAGTCTGGGACCCCTTGGGGGATGTCCACCTGCTGGCTTAGGCCCGCTCCCTGGGGGATTGGGCCTAAGCCGGCAGTC